GGCTAAAGAAAGCACCCGAGAGACTGCTTAGCACTTGTGCTTTGCGGCAACGCCGGCGGTCACGTTTGCGCTTCCTTGTCGCCGAGCTTAGATGCATGTTCGCCCGCTCTACCGAAACCGGAAACAATCAAGCAAAAAGTTGCCCGGTCAATGCAAACGGGGTCAAAATCGCAGAAGAATGAAGCAGGTAGTGGTTGCGTCCGGATGCAGTAACGACATGTGCGCTCATATGAGCTCACAGTCTATGTTCATCATTGCCGCCATGCGGTAACTGAGAGCTGCGAGAAATCGAACAGTTGATGGTGGCGTCGGAGCTCAACGAAATGAGGAGCTTGAGCTAGCGAGCTCGCAATCCGTAAGTTCGTCATGGCCACGATGTGCTGACAAAACCTGCAAAGGATTCGAGCAAGTAATCCTAGATTGGAGAGAAACAAAAGGGAAACCTGAACGCAAAGGTGAGCTCACGATAATTCAGGCTGACTGATAGTTGCGAAGATTCGAGCAAGTAGTCATGGCGTTGGAGAAGACCGCATGACAACTGAGCCCAAAGGTGAGCTCACAATCAATCAAATTCGTCACGACCACGCTCGCCAAAAGCTGCAAAGCATTCATGGGTACTATTCCTGTCGAGACCGTGGGTGTCATAAGACCTGAAGTCGTCTAAAGTCGTCGAGCTTGTGCTGCGCTGATTAGAAGCGACAATTTTGAAAGTGCAACTGCTGACGTCAGGAAAAAGCACCGGACAAGAAGTTTGAGCACTGAAGTGAGGCCACGACTGTTCCGATTCATCGTCATTACCGAGCTCCATTGCTTAAGAGTTGCGAAAGACTAAAGCAGGTCAAGGGGCGTCGGAGATGAGTGGTGAGAAAGGGGAAAATGCGGGCTAAAACGAGCTCGCAACCTTCTATGCTTGTCATGGCCGCCAAGTCGGGAGTTTCGGCACATAATTGCCAACGACACGTACAAAGAAAAGGCACCTTCTGGTACACGTCAAGCCTCACTAGCCTTGCATTCAAGAAAACGGATTTCATGACGCGCGGTGCTGGCAGCAAGATACGAAAGAGCAGCAAATCCATCTCAAAGCAACACTACTGCAGACACAGGATGCAACAAAACCATACATCCAGAGCGAGGAGGCCTTTGTTGAATTGACCGAGACAAGGTCCCCAAAAAGGAGCGCCTCAATACAAAACCCCCTTAGCAACCCGCAAAGCAAGCAGCCGTAACCCTGGCGCTTCCGAAACCAGAAACAAGTATAGGCGTCGACCTGATTGGTCGGTAAGGACAGGACGACCCAAATGACTTACACAACGGTGAATTTTTCGAATATCGAACCGCCATCAACTAGGTGGATATTCGGGAGACAGAAGCAGTAGATGACACGGAGTAGCGGTGATTGAAGCAAGTAATCGACCTTGGGCAGTGCACAAGCCTCGAATATGGACGACATCCTCGGCACTTTTCTAAACAAAGTAAATGCGAATCATTCTGCTCACAAAGGACTGAGCATAACCGGTGGGCAGGAGACACTGGGCAAGCACTCGTCGTCACCCCGCTCGTCTTACTTTCATCTGCCTTTGTAGTAAAGCTCAGATGAAAAACGCCTACGAAGATTGATGAAGTTTCACGCACCGAGACAGTTGGAGGTCTCCTAACGGAGTTTGAAGCGTTCTTGCATTGGCCCCTGATCTGACTCAGTGAGCGACTTGGAATGCAATGACGTGGCACGGCTCGTTTGCGGGCCTGTGAAACCAAGCGAAGCGGAAGCGGGCAAAACGAGCAAGCGAGCTTTAAAGCTTGCCGGATGGTACAGCGAAGGCACTAACTTGCAGTTGGTGGCGGCATCAGGTACGCAACGAATTCTGAGCACAAAAGCTGCCCAAAAGGGTGATGCTTTCATCGCCGCCACAAAGAGAAGCGTCCTGGGATATGTGAGTGTCAAACAAGGGTGTACGGCTGAGCACAAAAGTTGAACGCCGTCGGAGAAACGTTTGAAAAGGAGGGTGACCTTATGGTTTCTGGCATGATGTAAACAGAAACGAACGATGTGCGAGACGGACCTCTGTAAGTGCCCACATCGTGCTACAAGAGTTCAAAATAGGAGCAGCAGGACGTGGGAACGTGCAGGGTCTGCGGTTTTGCTCTTGACTTTGCATTTAGGCCAGTTTTCACTAGCAAGCCTCCGTATGTCTTCACGGCCAACACGATGTTTCGGAGGAAGAATCGCGTTCAAGGATTGCTTCAATTGCCACACCGCTAAAACAAAAGTGGGCGCGGGCGCTCGTAAGCAAAGCGGGCTTGAAAGCAGGGCTTCTCAAACTAAACATCATAGCGAGGCAAATCTTGGGTGACCGTTTGAGAGCGGCGTCAGACAGGTGGAATTTGGGGCCCTGGCGAATGTGGAGCACTATTTGTATGCCCAGGAGGATTACCTCAAGACCGCCACGAAATTTATTGAACTTTGGTCAGAGGTTAAGGCTAAGCGATTCGAAGAAGCGAAAGAACGCGATACAAAAAGCTGTCGTGGTCCTTGGAAGAGCAATCAAACACATTTGCAACGGCTGAGAGGCCATAGCCGCGGCGGCATCAACACTTTTGAGTCAAGGAGGTGGGCAATTGGCCTCAAAAATCGACCCATCAACTCTCATAGCCGCAACGTCAGCCACACGAGCCAGGCTGACAACGACCCATCAACAACATCATCAAGCACGAAGCAGACAAGTGCAGCGTCAGAGTTGAGTTCAAAGAAGCGTGGGCACTTAAACATGAGCCCACATCAAGAAGTCTCGCCACAGTCCCGATGGTGACTCGTAAACCATTATTGAAAGGTGGTACATGCGGTAGTGGCGAAGAAGCATCATTTTTCCAAGCAGGTGTTTAGAATCGCCACGAGGCCAGGAGAAGCGAATATTTACGGCACCGAAAGACAAAGCAACAAAATAGATACGTTTGACGCGTGCGCGTTTAAGCGTTTCCAAGCATGGGGGCTCCACGTATGCTTCCGATCGGTATGAATCTAGCAAAACCTCTCTTCCTTGAGAATGCACGCGAGTGCTGGCCCTGTCTGAAGGGATCTGTGAAGTTGGAATGGGGTATCTCTCACTCGCACCTGCATTTCTGCACAGTCTGCAGGGTCATTAAAGGATCGTGGCCACCTATGAGTAATTTGTATTCTTTCGTTAAGAGGCACGTAGCGTAGAATGATGCAAGGTGGCCTGAAAGATGACCCCGAAGCATTTAAACTGACGATGTTTGAATCTGGACCCGTTTTTCCAGTGAGTATAGACTTTAGTTAGCATGCCCAGGCAGTCTGACAGAGAGTCTGTCTGATAACCAACTTTTACTTCCGTGTTGCATTCAGATCTGCCTTCAAACCCCTCCAGTCAATCGCAAAATCTATACCGCAGATAAAGAAACGCATGCCAGCCAAATAATAAGCCAGGAACAGCTTGAAGCAGCTCAAGAAGAGGTGGGCAAGCGGCCACTACCAATCCTCAAGAGACGGGCAAGCGGCCACTACCAGTCCTAAATAGTGCTGAAGTCAGAGTTTTGGCTTCGTGTCCGACTCAGAAGCAGTGGGCCCGTTCAGACTCAGTTTCCAAATCGTGGCCATTATGACATCCGCGATGCACAATCCTCTTTCAAGCCCCAAAAACAATGGCACCAAGAAAAGAAATATTAGAGCTGTCGGCCACACGAAGGATTGGACGACTACAGACAAATCATGCTGAAGCGACACTGTGACCGGAAAGCACGACCAAGCAGCTCGTGGGTAGATTCGCATCGACAAACCACGTTGTAAAACGAGCGTGGCTCTCAGAAACATCTGGAATACATGTGGGCACATTGATAGCCCTTTGTAACATCATAGCCAGTACTTAAACGCCCAAGCGTGCTTTCGATAGAAGATAGGTAGAGGCTGATGAACTTCAACGACTGCGATATGAACCAAACCTCTAGGCCTTCTTGAGAGCTCAGCCGCCGACGGCCACAAGAAGAGTTTCGGAAACTTAGCCAACTAGTGTCTATGCGCAAAAGAGAAACGCAGTAGGACCAGTGATTAAGAGACTGTTGCTTCAAAAGCTTTCCTTGACATCAGACTCAGCCCGGAATCTTTCAAAAGCGGAGGACTGATTCTGGAACCAAGTACACCACGCTTAGAGAGGGCCACGTCCTTTACACAGCCCCAATTCCGCACTTTGTTTGCGCCAAGCGAGACGGTTGATAGCCATTGTTCGGTGGTCGTGAGGCCAAAGTACGAACATTCTGGAGGTATGCAGGGCACCACAGTATATACATCTGCAATCGCTCCAACAAATGTTGCGAGGTGCTCGAGACAGCCTGAGCCTACAGGGAAATTAGAAGGTCGCGAAAATGTTGCGAGAAAAACGCCCTCAACGTCAGGTACCAGAACAAAGAAAATCAAGGCTTGGACATTGATATTTTAGAGCTACATCATAGCCGCTTCTTATCATAGTCACTGAAGGTTTTGGCAGCAGGGTGCATGGATGGCGCGAAACAGACTCACAAGAGGAGACGTCAAAGGTCTCTAATACCAAGGATTGAACCACGAGAGCGCTATTCAAAGCGGACTAGGCCGCGGCTGCTCCAGAAGTGGGCCGATCGAAAAAGAAGACATTTGGAGGGAAGTCATACCAACAAGAAAACATGGCATTCTTACGACGGGAGCTTATGGGACTCGCACATCGGATTTCAGTCTAAAGAATGCACAAGCACGTTCACAAAGTACCGGCTGCTCTCTGATTCTTCCCAGCATGAAAGGTGAGCCATTTGCAGAAATTTTGTAATTCAATCAAAGGTTTCAGGTCAGACAAGTCTACAGTGCACTCACACAGATCCGACAAGGTCAAAAGCATGCAAAAACGTCCGCCGTTCCAAGTGCTCTGACCGGCGGAGAATGTTTCTAAAGATGGCAAAAAATTGATCCACAGTGAAATCAGGTTTTACAATAAAGGCGAAGAAGAAGCAATTCACCGCACTTACACGAGAAATATGGCGCCAAACGCGATGTGCAGGCACCGCTCAAAGTGCTCCGGCCGGCGCATGCTCCTCCGCAACGACGGCAGGCCCGCGTGTCCCGACAGCGACACGATCATGATCCCCGCCCCGGTTGGTAACGACGCGGCTTTTACGAACGTGTGCTGATGCGCGCCGGTCCCGGTTACTTGCGCCGAGTCGGGGTCCAATAGGAGCGCGCCCACGACGACAGCTGTCCACAGAAGACTGGACGAGACGCCGGAGATGGCAATGCCGGTGAGGCGGGAGAAGCCGCGGACCCAGATGGAGGGGAGGACGGCGGCCAGGCTGCCGAGAATCAAGGAGTGCCTTTGGGAAGATACTGACCCGAATCCTCGCAGAACCGGACTACCGGGGAAAGCCTTGGAATCAACTTTGGGGGCAAAAGGAGTCTTGCAAATCTGTGCTTTGTCGATCTGCTGGTCTACGGGCATGGTGTGATCTCGCCCGACATCAGAGTGATCCTCGTAGTCGCAGTGCGTCTCGAACGCAGGCATCAAAAGGCTCCTCACGGTCCGGCTTGAGAAAGTGACTCCTATGGGTCCTCGATTCGCAATTGCTGAGGCAAGCTTGGTACACGCTTCTGCTCAGACAAACGTGGCTAAGAGTAACAAAAGTCCATAATGGCAAGCAACGCAGGGGCAGGCTACCGTGACGTGCACCTCCTTTCCTATTCAAGGAAGGTGCATATTGATCTTCTGGGCCCGCATTATTTTCAGGGGGGGGAAAAGTACAAACCAGAAAGAAGCCGCACAACCGGTAAAGCAATGCCATACTTCAAAAAGATGGCGTCGGGAAAGTATCTGGTCACTTGAGCAAGAAGCTCTTCGTGTTCCGCTCACTCAGCGACCAACGCCCACACGGGCTTGACAAATTCCCCAAGAAAGGGGTCAAAGGCGCCCAATACTCTCTTTTGCGGACCGTGTAAGAAGCGACAATTCGAATTTATCAGCATTTTTTTGGATGCCATGAAAATGTCAAAGCAAGAGAGGTATGTCAAACCAACGTACTGCATGCGTTCGAACTGTTAATCACCAGGATGGACAACTTCGTCATCAGCGGGTAACCTGCTTGTACTGATGAGCAGATTGCTCGACAGCTCATACCCTCATAGCCTTTCTTCTTTCGGAAACATCTCCTTATGGCCGTTTCGGAAGCCGTCTGATTGCGCGACGAGAGGAAGCAAGTACGTTACCTCGGATGAACTGCATACCCAAACAGAGTAGGCAACGACTATAGCTAATGAAGGCACACGCGCTTATCCAGGTTTTATTCAACCTGCGAAGCTGATGCAAAACAACAAATTTACGCCGCTTTGAGAAACTCTGTTTATACGCAGACGTACCAGGAGACGTCCTCGTTACAGCTCCTTATATCAGCCCCCAACCAACGACTTTCGAAAAGTCGATGGAGAAGTGTCCCAGGATCCGGTTGAAAAGAGCGTACCACCCTCAACCATGACGTCAGGGAGTACCGCCTCGCATCAATCTTTGAGCAAACAAGCCCAATGATGCAATATCGCCCATCATGGCCACACTACACTAGAGTAATGCTTGATTCCAGAGAGCAAGATGGATCATTCAGGGCTAGCTTACAAAAATCGAGCAGGCAAGAAATGCAAGCGGGACGCACGTTCTCCTAAAGACCCCAGCACAAGCGGTGGTAAAGCTGAGTGCTCGGAACGAAACAGGTACATTCGATTGCGGGCCTGGTTCGTATTTTTTTCCGCGGAAGCGGAAATTGTCACGAGCAAAATCGAGCTTTGATGCTGGCAGCCTCGTCTTGACGATACATAAAAGCCGCCAAGCATGACAACGTACCTACTACAAAGCTACCTACAAAGCTACCTACAAAGCTACCTACTACAAAGCTTTTCAAGGCCCTAGTCAAAGCGACTGCACCTTTTGAACGATATCAGATTGGCAAGTCCACAAATAGTACGCGGCTTCTGGGACTATCATGACAACGCTGGCCTTGTCTCTCCGGACAAAGGGCGCGACCCAGATTCGTCATAGCCGCACTTCAATTCCAGTGAGAATCAAGAGAATCTATTGAAACCAAGGACGGGTCCTTTCATTGTGCAGATCCACAGCGGAAATTGCAGCATGCGCACCGAGTTTGTGGTATCCAAACGTGGAAAAAAGGATTGACCTCACGCAAGACGGCTAATTCCTTGCATGCTCTCAAAGACGTGGCATCCGTGGGAACGTACCCGAATACGCTGAGCAACGCCAGTACTCGAGAGTGCCCATCTTCATAGCCCGTTTACAATCCTGTTCGCCTACAAACGAATTTAGTAAAACCACCCAAGCTTCAACCAGAATAGTTCGTTGTGTCTGAGATCTCTCCGTTGTAAACAGCAAGCCACGCGAGGCTTATGATGCCATTCTGGCATAATCTACAATCTCGAGTAAGAATTCTACAAGATTGAACAAGGTA